GGCCACCGCAGCCTTGACCTACTGGGCTCCGGCAATCCTTCCACCTCAGCCTTCCAAGTAGCTGGAACTACAGGAGCGCACTACCACGCCCGGCTAATTTTTTTGATTGATTGATTGATTTTTTTTGAGTTGGAGTCTCACTCTGTCATCCAGACTGGAATGCAGTGGCCACTCCCGGCCACCACAGCCTTGACCTGCTGGGCTCCGGTGATCCTTCTGCCTCAGCCTTCCAAGTAGCTGGAACTACAGGTATGCGCTACCATGCCTGGCTGATTTTTTAATTTATTGTAGAGATGAGGTCTCACTGCCCAGGCGGGTCTTGAACCCGCGGGTTCAGGCAATCCACTCACCTCAGCCTCCCAAAGGCGCAGGATTACAGGCTGAGCCACCGAGGCCGGCTGATTTCACTCCTTTTGAGATTTGACCTAAGGCCAGCAAGGAGGCTCATGTGTTACTTCCAGCGCTTTGGGAGACTGAGGTAGGAGGATTGCTTGTGCTAGGAGTTCGAGACTAGTTTGGGCAACATAGTGAGAACCCCGTTTCTACAAGCTACTCAGAACAAGGTAATAGTAAACTATGATTGTGCCACTGCACTCCAGCCTGGGTGACAGAGTAAGACCCTGTATCTATTAAAAAGTAGTAATAGTAAAAAGACTTGGCCTAAATGTGGCCCACAGGAAGACTAGCCTGACATTTTCAGACAGAATTCGTGTCTCTGCTCTCATAGCAGAGTTAATTCCTGTATTCTACCAGTGTTAATTCTGTTGGAATCATGTATTCATATGTCTTTCTCTCTCACTGGACTATATTGTTTTCATGTTTGCGTGAAACAAACCTCCTAGCACCTCTCACAGTACCTGGTGTTTAACAACATATCTGCTGAAAAAACACTGAAGGATATGCCCAAGATGACCTTTGCAAGTGAGGAGACTGGAGCTAGCAGTGGAGGGGCAGGTTTGAGATGCCAAGAGCTGTGTCTTATGTGGTTCTTTGACTGATAAGGGTTGTTCTGCACATCCTTTTGTTCTACCAGCCTTGCTTCCCTTGAGCATCAAAGCAGTGCTTGCCCTCCTTGTCTTTACAACACGACAGTTGGGGATTTACAATCTTCCCAAGCGTCTTTAATATCACATTAGTTCCAACAGTCCACATCAGAACATAAGCCATCTCCAAGAACTGCTGCTGCTTCAGAAAACCTCTGTTAGGTCTCAAAGTTCTGCCAGCAGAATGCATTTTGTCAGCCATCTTTTGGCAAACACACACACACACACACACACACACACACACACACACACACACATACTCTCACACTCACACACACGCCTCCATGCCATCAGTTTTATGCTGCTTCTTATTGACATGTTTTTTTCAGTACTTTCTAGACCAAAAGCAACATCAGTTATCCCTGTGATGGCAATTAGCCATCTGAATTTATTTCGGGTCTGTATTTCCCTAAAGAAATTTTCAATCCAATAACTTTTCAGGTCATAATATGTAAAGGGTAAAATTCCTAGAAGTTATATTCAGGCAGATGAAAGCAAACTTGAAGTCAGCCCATAGAAGACCAGCTCTGTATCAACTTCAGTCAGCAAAACTAAAGGGCAGCTGGAAGCCTGTGCTCTCTGGAGTGTTCTTTATTCATTCAACAAAAATATATTGAGATCCCACAGGTATTGCTCTGAGTGCTACAAATACAGCAGAGAACAAAACAGGCAACGTTCTTGAGGTCTTCAGGAGGTTCTATCAATTAGGAGAAACTGGAAGACCAAAAATAAATAAATAGGTGAGGGGCTGGGGGATGCTTTCTGTGGTTTCTTATGGCACTCAAATGGCTTCCTGTGAGTAGAGGACTTGCATTTCTAGAAGTCAGAGCAAGGATTGACTGAGACAGTTCAGAAAACAGCCTCATTGAGGCGCCTGAGCTTAGTGCAAGGCTGATGCCTGGGACTGGCCTCAGCATGACCTGACTGGCAAGATGGCAATCTTTGTGGATTTATTTTTCCTCTTTGTAAAGGTTTGTCCGACATAGGTTTCTTGGGGAAAATGCTGCTGCTCACACTTTATATGAGTAAAAACAGCAGGAAATGGAGATTTCATTTCTACAAAATAGGTCATTCTCCCTTCAACTAGTATATTTCCTCTCAGGCTGGGTGGGCTATCACTACTGACCCAGCCCAGAAGACACACCCAGTACCAAACAATACCTCCAAATAGGGGTGCTGTCCTGAACAGGGATTTCCCTCTTCCCTCCCATGTGGCCAATTTAGAGTTGTTTAAGGAAGGACACCACGGTTTTCTCCACTGAGATAGAATCTTGGGATTTGAATCTGCAGATGAAATAAGTGGCAGTTTCAAGTTCTTGTGATGTGGTCAGCTTAGCAAGGGGTTGGAATACTATACTGTCTCTTCCAGGCTCTCCTTAGTTTCACTCTGTTTTCTTGCTACTTCACCTATTGTCTTTCTGTTCCTCATCAATCAGACCCAAGCTGAGCCCTTTCTTCCTGCCATCCTCTCACCCTCTCCTCCTTCATCCCTGGTCCTCCTCTCCTTAGGTCTTCCCTCTCTCCCCCAGGTCCCAAGTTAGAGTTTCTTTCCTCACTGCCCTCTGAATTCTGGGCTCTGCCCATTGTAATCTTATGCTGGCTCTTCTTATGAATTTGGATATGCAGCATCTTTCTCAGTTTTATGAATGCAGTTCACTTCTCTGCCAGCTCCTTTTGGGATTTCCCATGTCTGTCTTTGCTTTTCTTCCCAAAGAATCAGTCCTCCAGTCTTTCATTTTCATGCATTCTTTGTGTAGCATAGCAGTTCTGAGAACTTACTAACTGCTAGGTTCTAGACTACAAGGTGGGGATGCATCGACCACCCTAGGCTAGAGGTCAGCAGCTTTTTCCTTTAAAAGACCAAAAAGTAAATATTTTAGGCTTTGCTAGCCATGCGATCTCTGCCAACTCAACTACTCGGGTTCCTTGAATTCAGGCATGGTGTCTGACTGTGGCCCTGGCAATGCACAATGAGTATCTCTCAAATTAAGGAATGACAGACTCTTTGCTCAGTGCCCCAAGAATGCATTCCCCACCATTACCCAGTCCTCCCACAAGCCCTCCAGTCGCCTGAAGTGGGAAAGATTCTCCCATTGTGGTCCACCTCAGTTTGCAGACCATAAGCGGTTATTCAGGTGCAGTTTATAGCTGTGGCCACCAGTGGGCTATTCTCAATGCTCAGGATTTCCAAGAGCAACTTCACAAGGGATTTTTCTTTGTAACTAGGAATTAGAAGCAGGTTAATTTGTTAGTTTCATATTGAATCTGAGGCATTCTGACCATTATGAAGATATGGCCATGTGGTACCTTTAAAGTACCTCTTGGCCTGTTATATCAAAAAATGTAATCCGAAAATACTAAGTATTTTCTTCTAGAGTAGGAACAGAAAAATGGGCTTGATGTTATGATAATCTGCCCCACTGCAGGACTTTTGAGGGAGGACAGGCCCCTGGGTAAGGACAGCATGAAGATGGCGGTGGACTTCAGCCCTGCCCAATTTGGGAGCTCCATTCCTGCCTCAGCCCACCCCTGGTCACCTGATCCTTTAAGCTGAGAAGCTCTGAGCTTGGAAAACTGCTTGAGCAAGTCATAAAGCCTCTGACCTCAACTGCCTCATCAGTAAAACACTCACCACATCTGTCACATAGAGTTGTGGTAGGGTAAATGAACAAATTTGTATGAAAGTGCTTGAAAAATGTAGAGCCCTGTGCTAATATGAGGCACTTTTATTGCACCTCAATCGCACTACTAGTTCCCAGGGCTAGGATGAACACAATGAGCAGATCACAGTTGTAACAGGTAAAAAAAAAATGGTTTTGAGCTCTTAAAGGAAAAAGAAAGCAGAAAATATAAAGTTTTTAACAATTAATCAAATTATTCTTTAAATTGTGCAAGATAAATTACTATTACTCAACATAAAATTATAATACAAGCCAGGCTCGGTGGCTCAGCCTGTAATCCCGTGCCTTTGGGAGGCTGAGGGGAGTGGAT